GTTAGAGAAATAGGATGAGGGTAAATTTTTACAATGCGCGCGCACCCCGTCACGGATGTGATGCAGAACCGTCACAGATGTGACGCACACAGTCACGGATGCGAAAATCCTTTGTCAAGAAATTTACAGAACGGGACACAAATCATTCCCGCCTTCGAAATTCTCAGAAAAATATTTCTCTTCACTTCCCTGAAGAAGGGGACACCCGGGTTGGAACCAGGGACCTCCCAATCTGCAGTCGAATGCTCTACCACTGAGCTATACACCCGCGTCAGCAAACTTTTGCTTTGGATATGAATGGATACGAAAATGCTTTGATTAGAAATATGCAAAATGGGGTGAGTTGAGTTGAGTTTGGTGTTTTATGGCGCAAGAACCAGTTTTGGCTATACTGCGCCAAACATTCATAGGTCTGTGGTCTGGACGGTAAAAGAAGAAAAGAAGAAATTGGATGACAAGATGGAGGGTCGAAAATAGAGAAGGATTACTGGGATACCCCGGGGTCTTGACACCCGTGTTTACCAAAGATAGTAAACCCCTTGGGAAAAGGAAAAGATCACTAGGGTACCTCGGGATTGTGTGACACCCGTACCCATCTAAAGAAGGTGAGCCCCCTGAGGGGTATGCAAAATGGGACAGATCATTCCCGCCTTCGAATTTCTCAAAAAAATATTTCTCTTCATTTCCCTGAAGAAGGGAGCATTCGGGTTTGAACCGGGGACCTCTCGATCTGCAGTCGAATGCTCTACCACTGAGCTATTCCCCCGAGTCAGCAATCCTTTGCTTTGCGTTCCGTAGGAACGGATACGAAAATGCTTTGTCTAGAAATATGCAGAACGGGACAGATCATTCCCGCCTTCGACTCCCTCCCCATATTATTGGTCCTATTGTTCCTGAGCGGGGTGTTTAAATTTATTTAAATTGTGATTATCTCAGGTTTGGCTGGTCCGATTGACTAAAGGTTAGTATTGTTCAACTCTGCTCGTGACCGCCTTTCGTCCTTGGCCCAGCTTGTCCTGCCAAAAAAACTTTAGAAAGATTTTTTAATCTTGTTACGCCAAAGAAGTATAACTTTTTACGTGCGTACTTAAGTACACACACACTTTTTTTTTTTTTTTTTGTTATCGTTTAGTAGAAATTTGCTAAAAAGTGTTTTTACGAAAATAGACTCCTAAGGCTAGCTGCAGAGGAGTTACAGACAAAACTTGTTTGGGGACAATTACAATTATAGATATGAAATTTGGATAACACGTTTCATATGCAGAGTAGAGATTTACTAAATATGAGTTTTGAGGAAATCAACAATAAAAGGGGGGGTCAGGAGGCTAGACGGAGTTTTAGATAAGGAAAAAAATTCTATTTTTAAACTACTATACTAACAGACTTGAAATTTGGCAAGGATGTTTCTTTTGCTGAATATAGATCCGCTAAAAATGGGGAGGGATATAAATCGACTCCTTGATTGTCGTAAAAGATAAAATTTTCGTCCATTTTAGAAAGTCTAGTTCTGTCCTTTTTAAATCAGGAGGCGAGAGCTATAAGTATGTTTTTCATTGCAGTCGAAAGTTTAATTAGGACTTAGGTAACAAAAAGTATACCATGAAATACCCAGTGAAGAGGGTAAATAACGGTTAGTAGATGGATAAAATTCTCTCGAATAAAATTATGACTCTTCATATCATTCATTCGGAAAAATACAGTCGGACCTCTAAATAACGAAGTCGCTAAATCCTGAAAAAAAGTTCGTTATACGGAAAATTCGTTATATAGAAGGTAATCTTTCAATTTTCTTTATAAACCACATAAAACAAATTTTAACTCATAAACACAATTTATTAAAAAAAAGTAATAATTCGCACCTTTTTGTAAATTAATATCTATTTGTTTTATCTATCTTCCCTACCAAAAAGAAAAAGAAAGAAAGAAAGAAAAACTGCAAGGAAAATTTCTTGACGCTTTTATTCGCTTTCTGAAGAATTAAATTTTTTTCTTTGATGCTCAAAAGCTTAGGTTTTGACATTTTTGAGCCACAAGAAACGAAGTTACCAATACGACTGATTTACACTACAAATGAACAGAGACTAGTTCAAGGACACGAGACAACTCCACTGAGGGTGAAAGAGGATATCGAAGAAGTTTCCAGTGAACTGGACAATGGGGGTTAAAGGTTGCATTTCTTGGATGAAACGCCCAGAATTATATTGCTCTTGACGAGTTAGGCACTTAATAAAACCAGTTCAAGATTTACGACCACAATAAAATGTGTTAAAAGAGAAAATAGCTTGAAATGTCTAGAAATACTTTTAAAATAGGTAGGGAAAAAAATTGATTCACAAGAAAAAAAAAGTTCGTTATATTAAAAATGCGCTTCGCTATTGGGAGGCTGTTTTACGAAGAAAATCGTGAAATGTTCTTGGTTCCAGGAAAAAATTCTCTATATAGAGGCTCGTAATATGGAGGTTCGACTGTATGTTCTAATTCTGTAATTCTGCTAGTTTTTATAAACAAAAACTGGGATTTTCTCAATCATTACTAAAGATATCTTTATACTAATTCAATAAGGATTTGGTCTGATAACACATCAAACTAATAATTTCACTTTATCCTCGCGTTCATTATTCTAAATTGCATTGCATTTTCTTGCATGGTTAACCTCATTATCCATTTGAGACGGTCGCCAGAGAAGATTATCTGCACCATTAGATGGAACATGTTCAATTAGGTTAGAGCTGTTATCCGAATTTTCAGAATGACCACTGATTCTAAATAATCCCATTCCGTCATCAAAAATCTACTTCCATGTTTTATAATTGGAGACAACCAGCAAGGCAGAAACACTTCTAAAAAAGTTTTCAAACATAAACTCTTCTTCATATTGTGAAACCTGTGAAAGAAAAAAAAAATGAAAGACGATTCGTCAGATCAAATCGTATCATTTTCCATTTTCGATGTTCTTTAATTAGTAATAGTATTAAGGTTTCTGATTTCCCTGTTTTTTTCCATTCCCGAGAATACATCAAAATTTAGAAAAATTTAAGAACAATTTATTTTTAAGTAATATCAATAATAATTATATAAAATAAGGATACACATAAATCCTGAATTAATACTCATTCATATATTCAGCTTAAGATACAAATTGAAACGAAACAAAATCTGAAGAAAGAAGTATTTCGAAGATATAAATAATTATTCTGAAAAAAGAAATTATTACAGATTCAAATACGAAAGAATTTACTTAGTTTGATAATAAATAAATATGTCACACTATCTTTATTTTGCAGATGCTGTTACAACCTCGATTTTTTATTTTTAACTTTATCATATTCTCATAAGAAAAATCTTTCCCCAAATTAAAAGTTATATTTTTTTTTATTGAAATTTATTACTTTTAGTTCTAAAAGCAAAAATTATTAACGACAAGGAAAAAATGTTACAATTGAAGATTTTATAAATTAAGTGTCTCGCGGAAGAAAAAACACACATTGAAAGTATAATTACTAAAATTAATGCTTCTTTACTAACACACATGCGTTTGAAAATTGATCAGTTGAACTTGAATCAATTATTTTTCTAATGTT